GGTATAAGAGAGAGGGAGAGAAAAAATAGGAGGAGGAGGAGGTGAGAAGGAGGGCAATGGCAGGGTAGAGAGGAGGAAAGGAGGAGAAAAACCAGTCTGAATTTCTTTCTATAACCCAGCTTCAGAAGAAAGTCACACATTATTGCTTCCAATACATTCTTTTCACTAGAAATAAGTCACCAAGTCCAGCTCATATTTAAGGAGAGGGAACATAGCTTGTATCTCTCAGTGGAGTATCAAGATCACTTGGTAATAAAAGCATGCAGGATAGGATATATTGGTGTAATTGTCTTTTTATCATCTTTTTAAATCATTTTTAACATTATTCAATTTAAAAAATTTTGAAGACAAATTGGATACATAGTTATGGATATATAGATATAGATATATAGAGAGTCCAATACACCCAATCCAGATTCATCCCTGTTTCCCTGATTCTTTTTAAAAATAGTGTAGCACAAGGAGGGTTACAAACCCAATAAGAATTCATGATCATTAATTTTATGTGTTAACTTGACTGGGCTAAGGGCTGCCTCAATAACTGCTAACATTATTTCTGGGTGTGTCTGTGAGGGTGTTTCTGGAGGATATTAGCATTTGAATCGGTAAACTGAGTAAAGATCAACTTCACCAATGTGGGAGGCATCACCCAATTCGCTGAGGGCCTGAATAGAATATAAAGGGAGAGGAAAGGGGAATTTGCTCTCTTTGCTTGAGCTGGAACATCAATCTTCTCCTGCCCTTGGACATCAGTGCTCCTGGTTCTCAGGCTTTAGGACTCAGACTGAAACGCACACCATTGGCTCCTTTTTTAACACCAGTGGCTTTCCCGAGTCTCCAGCTTGCATACTGCAGATTGTGGGGCTTCACACACTCTATAACTGTGTGAGCCAATTCCCACAATAAACCTCCTCTTTTATCTATCTATATCTATCTATCTATCTATCTATCTATCTATCTATCTATCTATCTATCTATCTATCTATCATCTATATCCTATTGGTTCTGTTTCCCTGGAAAACCTGACTAATACAAAATTCTATAAGAATCCTTTCTCAATGCCCTTTTATAAGCTGCCCCATGGTTAGTCTTTGGGGGAAATTTTGATGTGCACAAGAATTTTTATTTGTGAATTACCTAAAACAAAATCAAACAATGTAGCCAATGATCTGCTTTACTTAACTTATATAAGTAGGCATACAAACATACATCAGACTCAAAAATTGCCTCTCTGAAAACTTCCAGAGTCACACCGAAAAGAGAAAAGCCTATTGAGGAATTTAGACCTGTTGAGCACTTAGACTCCAGTCTGTCTTTGGGTAGAGCCAGAAGAAGCAAAAATATGATTAGAAAAAACAAATTGACACGAGCCGAAAAATTATTTAGAAGTGATAGAATTTCAAACACCCCTCTTACCTACCCTTTGCCCCAATATGTAAGTGTAACATTTTTCCTTATTAATCTGTGGCTAATTCTCTCTCCTTTCTTCCTTTTTATTTCTTGTTTTTGTGAGGAAGATTAGTCCTGAGCTAACATCTGTGGCCAATTCTCCTCTTTTTGCTGAGAAAGATTGGCCGTGGGCTGACATCTGTGCCCATCTTCCTCTACTTTTTATGGGACACCACCACAGCATGGCTTGACAAGTGGTGTGACGGTCCATTCCCGGGATCTGAACCTGTGTACCCCAGGCCACCAAAGAGGAGAGCCCGAACTTAACTGCTACACCACTTGGTCAGCCCCTCTTCCTTTCTTTCTAACTAACCATTTTCCTGTTAGCTTAGGAACCTAAGCTGTATCTAAGACTTTCTGCTGCGCCTATGTGAACACACATTTTAGGTGAAACAGACTGTCACTAGACTTAAGAGACAGTCTCCTGGATCTCTAGAATATACTAAAATGGATTTTGGTCATGTTTCTTGTGGTTTGAATTTGGTGATACAGGTTTCTGGCTCCACAGCCTACTAAATGGACTAATAATCATTTAGCTTCTGGTAATTGTGTTGCATTTGTTCAATGCACCCAGTCTGGAGTCTTAAATGTTATTCTATTTCATAGCCGTTGTCATATCAGATAATTCAACAGTTTATCCTTTAACAAAAGAAACATACAGGGCTAACTCAGGCTATGTTTTCTGAACAACCTTTCTACCAATAAAATGCTGACAATGGTGTGAATGTGCGCCACACAAGTTAATGTTTTGCAGACTGATCTCATCTACTTTTGGCCAAAAGGGGAATTGAGAGATAAAAAACAAATTCCAGCCAGAAGTTAGTCCATATTGTTCCCAATTGAACATAAACAGAGCCTAAAAAATAAAATCAATGCATGGACAGGCCACTCTGGAACAAGATAGAGAGAGGTGAATCAAGAATTAACTTTCCTAGCTAACATAAATCACTGCTTTTTCTTTACCAGTGTGACCTAGCCCACATTTATTCTCATATTTTCAGGTAAAAAATATTAAGATACAATCACCAAATTACCCTTGTTTCTTGACCATATCCAATTTAGAATTTCCCAAACTTACAAGATCCACTCTTAAAATGGTCAAGACAACTTCACATTCTATAAGAATCTCCACCCAACTCTCTATTATGGGTTTCAAAAAGGTTTCTCTGGGGTGCTTTCTCACTTTTTGTGGAAGAATCAGTCAGCTTAACTTTTTGGCCATAGATATGTTCCTGGTGGTCTCAGCTTGGTGAGATTTAATAATTTCCAACAGAGGAGATAGTTGTCACAGTTGTTTAATTATCCTTTCCCCAAAATATAGGACGCACCTTATTACAATTAATTTTTGGTAGAATTTTTCATAGAAATGGCTTAGTTATTCAACATGGGAACCATGAAAAGACTAAAAATATACACTCAAGTTATGAACAGGTTGCACCTTTTTGTCTCAGCACAATGGAAAGAGGGCTTAGAATCAGGATGGATCATAAATAAATTATCACTGTAAAAAAATAAAATTAATGATTACTTCACTGTAAGAAAAAATAGAATTATCTTACCATGTACATATTTTCCTCTTTGCTCTAATAGTATATTTTATACCTTGTCACGGCAAATACCATATTTTGTTGTAACTCTTTTATTTTTTCTCTCCCTAGAGTGTGTTTCCCGAAATTCAATGTCTATTATGTCTAGTATATATTTGATCCTCAATACTTTTGATTGGGATGTTCAACTACAAGAATAAATAAATGAATGCAGTTTCTAAAGTTCTTGCAAAAGGCTTGTTCTCTTTAGAAAGTAGATTAGAGATTTCCAAGGCCTGGGCAGAGGTATGGGTGGGGAGTTATTGCTTAACGGTTACAGAGTTTCTATTTGTGGTGATGAAATTTTCGGAAATAGTGGCGATGGTTGCACAATGTAATGGGTTGAAATGTCAAATTTTATGTTACATATATTTTATAATAGCACAATAAAAAGTTTTTTGATCTCTGTGTGTCTGACTCTTATTCTCCAAATACCACATTACAAGCTAAGTGAAATCTGTGTAGGCTGAATCTCAAACCTTAGAAAAAGAAAGAGATATGGATAATGAAGTTGAAAAGTAGCATGAATGCCTTAGAAGATTGAGAGTTTCTAGTCAAAGACACTATATGTTGAAAAATTGACTCTAGAGAAGATTGATATACTGTATAGAAGGGTAGACTGATTATTGGCCTTTATTTCTTCCAAGGTATCCAAACAAACAAAAAAACAGACAATCACCCAGGCTCTTATGAAAGGTAAGCCTGTGCTAAAGCATGAAGGCCAGCTATTTGGAGAAAGATACTTGTCAACTCCGACCATCTTGGGTTGCCCTGGCTAGCATTAGCAGGAAACTCTGTGTCCTGGGAGTTCATATCTACCCAAAGTGTTGTCGACTAAATGAGGTAAACAAAATTCCACAGTGAGTCCACAGTGGTCCACAAAGTAATTTGCATATAAAGCTCATCACTCTGAGAATATCAGGAAAAATGCAAAAGTCATCAGTCATGAGGTGAATATAATAGATACAATGTGTCATCTTATAAAGTAATTCCTTGAGAAACTTGTGCTATGGCTTTCCCACTGATATATGTGCTTTTTGACTTTTCACAATTTCATGCAGGAGTTGTCTTCATCTACTTCAAATCTAATCACAGATCCAGTGGATCCTGGGCTCTCATAGCCATCTCTGGCCTAGGGCTGATGCTCTTACCGCAGAAATTCTTGGTCTAAGAAAGTGCTGGCCATCTATCAATCAATGTGTGTGTGTGTGTGTGTGTATGTGTGTGTGTGTGTGTGAGGGGGCATTAGTCTCAATTTCATGAAGCTATAAGAAAATAGTTCTTTTCCGACCACTTTCTCTCTACCTCTAGCAATGGGTTTTCTGTACATAGAATAACTTTTTCTGGTTCTTAATGTCAAAAGTACTACAATGCCTCCTAAATTTTTCCCAGGAAGATTCAAGACCTACAGGCTCATTAACAGGCTACATAATAGCTTTACAGGAAAATGGTGTTCTGTAGATTTAACAGGTATAAATGAGTTGATCTAAATACTTCAAAAACTGGGGCCATCCCCGTGGCATGGCAGTTAAATGTGCGTGCTCCGCTACTGGCTGCCCCGGGTTCGGATCCCGGGTGGCATTGATGCGCGACTTGTCAGGCCACGTTGAGGCTGCGTCCCACATAAAGCAACTAGAAAGATGTACAACTATGATATACAACTACCTACTAGGGTGTTGGGGAGAAAAAGGGGAAAAAAAAGGAGGAAGATTGGCAATAGATGTTAGCTCAGGGCCAGTCTTCCTCAGCAAAAAGAGGGGGATTGGCATGGATATTAGCTCAGGGCTGATCTCCCTCACACACACACAAAAAAAATACTTCAAAAACTCTCAGATAATATATGATACTGGTCTGCTAGGATTAGCAGAAACAGCAACCTCTAGTCCAAAGATAAGAGATGCTGGAGAGGGTGGGAAATTAATTATAACTTTTCCCATTGGTGCTCAGGGTATGTAAAGAGCATATCTACCTTCTCCCCATAAAAAAGCCAAATACTCTCAGGCGGATCTGTTTGGTGTTAATGCCGTTGACCAGGGGATTGAGAACAAGGGGCATGAGGAGATAGGGATTTGCAAGTACAATGTGGACATAAGGAGGTACTTGGTGGCCAAAGCGGTGGGTGAAAAAGGAAAGACAGGCAGAAACATAGAAGACAAGAATCACACAAATGTGGGCTCCACAATTGCTAAATGCTTGGAACTGGGCATCCTTCGAGGGCAGGTGCAGCACAGCCCGCAGGATCAGGCCATAGGAGGTGGCGATGAGGATCACGTCCATGCCAGTGACTGAAAGTGCCACGGTGAGACCATAAATGGTGTTGGGCTTGATGCCAGCACAGGCCAGCTTGGCAATGCCTATGTGCTCACAGTAGGTGTGGGGGATGATGTGATGTCCACAAAAATGTAAGCATTCAATGAGGATGACAAAGGGGAAAACAAAGAGAAGTCCACGGACCACACATGCTAGACCAATCTTCCCAATCACCGTGGCATTGAGGATGTATGTATAATGAAGTGGATGGCAGATATCCACATAGCGGTCAAAAGCCATGGCCAGCAGAACAGCTGACTCTGCAGCAAAGACTATATGAACAAAAAACATCTGAGTGAGGCAGCCATGGTAGGAAATTACGTGGGACCTAAGCCAGAAGATTGTTAGTATTTTGGGCAATGTGGTTGAACAGGTCGGTGATGGAAAAGAGGCACAGGAAGAGGTACATTGGGTCATGTAGAATTCTATCCATCATGATAATATAGAGAATGGTGCCAGTGTCAACTAGAGCAAGGATATACATAGAGCAGAAGGGGATGGCAACCCAAACATGCTGGTCTTGCATCCCAGGGATTCCAAGTAGAATAAATGTGGAAGGATGGAAGGCCATGTCATTGGAGACAGATTCAGAGAGCATAGTGATGCAGACAACAGAAAGCTTTATCTTTCTAAAAGTGGTTAGAAAATGAAATTGTCATCCTAGATGTTATTTATTTCTCCTATATATCCATTCAATTTCTTGCCTTTTTCCATTCCCACCCATTCTATTCCAGTTCATGCCTTCTTCATGTCTTGGCTGGCTCATTAAAATAGCTTTGCAACTAATGTGCCCACTTCTAGGATTTGCCTCTTCCAGTGAAGCCTCTACATTGCTGCCTATATTTTCTCATGTGAAAATCATCAACTATAACACAAATATAACATCTCTTAGTGTATGGTGTTCAGAATGTCTTTCATTATCCTCCTCTGGTCCACTCTCCACCACTTTCTATCATGTTCTGGGTCCTGGGACACTAAACTACATCAAAAAACTCCCCTGCTCTCTCACTTCTGGATGGATTTGGCAATGAGAAACACCAACAGGAGATTGGAGGCAGGTCAGAGATTTCTTCCTTCATCTCCCTCCCGTCAGAGTGGCTGCACACTGGCTGCATCTCTATGCAGAAAGCCTTGTCTGGCTTTGGTTTCCTCCTGTAACCATATCCTCTTGTCCCTCCAGTCCAAGAGTTGCAACAGTGCCTGCTGTCACTAATCCAGGAACTTCATAAGCACTTGTGATTTCCCTGTACCTACCCACACCTTTGAGAATGTTTACGCATTACGATGTCTTGAAATCCCTAAATGGGGCATACACTCTGTTTCCTGCTGGGATCGTGACACAATAGTGTGCAAAACTCTTCTCACTTTTACTCTTGCCCACCTAAGTCGCGTTATTTACCCCCACACTCCACCACATACTTCATGTTCCAGCCATATCTAAGTGTTTTGAAATGTCCAAAAAGCATGTTTTATCACACCTGCATGCCTTTTCACATGGTGCTTTTTTCACACAGAATGGCTATTTCCATTTGGTCACCTGGCTAGCTGCTAATAGTCATTCAAAACCTACATGAATACGTTCCCCTCTGTGAAGCTCTTATATAATCCCTTCTGCTATGGTGAGAAAATCATACATATTAAGCATCACTCCCTTAGGAAGTATAACTATGTGCATGTCTCTTGCCTCATTACACTATGATATTTCTGAGTCTCATTTTTTCTCTATATCCAGCATCAATGTCTTATATATATTTGGCCAATAAATAATGTTTGATAAGTAAATGGTTAAAGGATTGAATGCAGCAATTGATTTTTTTAACAGACTTGGGTAAGTGACAAAGGTTGGAAAATGGTGTTTCTTTTTGGAAGCTTACCTTATGGATCAGAGAAGATCTTCCCTCACAAGATCTATGATCCCCCATGTTCGTTTCACTCTATATACTCCAGGAGGTGCTCCTTATTAGCTCTTCAATACATTTCTAATCTATCTACATAATAAATTTCTGTCCGCTTTCTTGATTGGCCACATGCATTAGTTTGATTATAAAACATATCTGCCTTAGTCTGTCTTGTCTGCATTAAAGTATGAGCCCTGATATGACCAGTCAAGACACAAGTATTGTGTTCCAGGAAATACCCAAGTGAAGCAAGCCATGAGGAAAAAAAAGGGAGCTTACAGGTGAATAAAATCAAGGACAGTTTCTCAGTGTGACCGGGCCATGGATTGATATTATGCCAATAGGAAAGGAGAAAAGAGAGAAAGAAGTATCTTTCCCTGGAGCCATCTTGCCTTGAGAGATTCCTATAGGTGAAGCCAAAATCATCATTCTTACTTTACTGAAGTCCAATCTTTGGGACTCAAAGACCCTTGTTTTTAAAAAGGACATGAATGTTAAGCTCATCCAGTTGTTCTCACCTAAAGAGAATTTTACAATGTGGAAACACTTAAGATCAAAAAGTTCTATAATAATTAAAAAGAATACCCTTCCTTCAATCTCTTTTTCATGTCCAACTGTAGTATTAAAATAGTAACCAATTTTGTTTTATTAATTGCAATATGCATTTTCATATACTACTGCAAGTTTATTACTTCACGCTAATGGTCACTCTAGCTATAAATTGTATAGGAAATAATATTATTAAAAGTTTTAATTACTAATAAAATTATTATTTTGTTTGAATTTTAAAGCTGTAAAACAGAACTTATTCCAATTCCATCGTCATTTTTTATACCCTTAAAAATTCATAAATTAAGTTATAAGAGCAAGTAATTATAAGCATTTTAATGCCCATCTTGGAAAGTGTAAATATGTTTTAGTTCTATCCTGAGACTAGTTGTGATTTTCAAACAGCAGATAAACTAATGGAATATAATCTTTTCATCTAGTTAGGAAATAAGTTACAACTCATACGTACTTCAATAAATTATACGATGCTTGAATCCCCAAATGTGATATCCTGAAACGTGGTCTCCTTGGCAGATTCTTGCACAACTCTAGTGACACAAAACATATGCTTTCTTGAGGCAGCCATTCTCAATTTCAGACTCTCTGAGTCTGAGAATGTTTCTCTTTTCATTAAGCCAATATCTATAAACACAATCCACATCAAACAAGTATTATTCCTCTTCAATATCTTAGGTTTTCAATTTTATGACCATTAATATCCTTTCTAAGGCTGCTCTTTATGCTCCATGATATATTAAGCTTGTCTAATGAGAAGACAGAGTTAATCAAATAATTGCCAATATATGTGTCAAAATGCTACATTGATGTATGCTATGAAGAAAAGATACATAAGCCAGTTCCTATTCAGAGAAAGCTTCTTGAGGAAATGAAATTTAGTCTCCAAACCTGAGTCTTTCTCAAATGCTTCAGATATCTCTTGTACAACTCAATTGTTAGGATTTTTGTCACCTTCTTTATGTGGTCCAGTCTGGAAAATAAGAGATCAGAGATAAGATTCAGACTGCCTGGTTTCAAAATCTGGTTTGAATGCAGTTACTCGCTAACTGTATTACCTTCAGCAATTGTCTTATTCCTCTCTGCTCTCTGTTTTTTAATAATAAAAACATAATAATAAATTTCAGATAATAATACTTCATAGGATTTTTTAGAGAATTAATTGAGAAAAATCATGTGAAGTACATAAGACAGTCTCTGTAATTTAATAAACACTTGTCATAATACTCACTGATATTTCTCATGCTTTTGCAAATCTATGAGTCCTTTGGCCTAACTACGTACTTGCCTCTCAAAAGAAGAATTTTAGTTCCTCAAGTTGAAAGACATATTGGGCTTTCTTGAGTCTGTAATCCAAGGGTGAAGGCACTGTGTTTTCATCCTTTTTTAAACGAAGAACTATCTTCAGATATATCCAAGACTCGTCCTCAGTTAGCTAGGTTAGTTGGACTCTTGCAAAACATAAGACGGAAGGGCTCCTCAATGATCTAAATTCTATCAATATGCCAATGTCATTAAACTCCCTTGGGACCAAGGAATGATTGTGATATTTGGGGTCCTTCAATACAAAAGGAGCAAGCATGTTCTGTGCTGCAACTAAGAGAAAATAAAGATGAAGGAATGCATATCTTATTTCTGTTAAAGAAAGAACTTCTATTAGGGTGTTCAATGAGACAGTCATCTAATTTTGCCCTGGAAAAGATAAATAGAACCTGGAGATACTGCAGCAGGGAGTCCTAGCTTGGTGGGCTTCTAAGTTTTCTGCGTGCGAAATTACAAGACAATATTAGAGAATTTGATTTGGAGGGTATCAGCTACACTTGAACACTGTGGAGATTGGAAATCAGAGGAGTTTGATGATCCCCTTGGTTTTCTGGGGGCACTTTAGGGTCCTAGGTACTCAAGGACATGGTTACTCTCTTGCAAATATATGTAGCTTCACTCCTGCCTGGCTGGCCTGACCTATAAGAGTGAGAACAATATGTAACTATTCTCAAGAAATTTTGAACTGATCATTGCTGTAAGAAAGACTGCTTCTAGAGATCTGACTGGCTTGTCCTGACCCCATATGAAAATAGCAAGACACTAAAATCTCTAACTGCAGCAAGAAAGGATTGAGATACAAAGAAAAGGACTTACTGATGATAAATTTTGGTATGTAATAAGGCTACCCAAATAACTGAGGGATTCAAGGAACTGTATCTCCTATAATTGAGTGAGGGGACAATCTGTGATGACCTGTAGAGTAGCTAAGGACATCAATGTCTTTGTATGATTGTCATCCTTCCATATCTTCCCCTACCTCTGCTCCTGCCTTTATAGAACTGTCCTCAACCTTATTTTCTGTCCATCTCATCCATTCAACACTCACCCCAACCTCGGTGGTCAGCTGCACTGTAGAAATCTTTTTTTTGTTTGTTTGTTTTCTTTTAAACAGCTTTATTTATTTATTTATTTATTTATTTATTTATTTATTTTTTTTTTGTGAGGAAGATCAGCCCTGAGCAAACATCCATGCTAATCCTCCTCTTTTTGCTGAGGAAGACTGGCTCTGAGCTAACATCTATTGCCAATCCTCCTCCTTTTTATTTTTTCCCCAAAGCCCCAGTAGATAGTTGTATGTCATAGTTGCACATCCTTCTAGTTACTGTATGTGGGACATGGCCTCAGCATGGCCTGAGAAGCGGTGCGTCAGTGCGCGCCTGGTATCCGAACCCAGGCCGCCAGTAGCACAGCGCGTGCACTTAACCGCTAAGCCATGGCGCCAGCCCTGCACTGTAGAAATCTTGATCCAGCACAAGTAGCATAATTCCTGGATCTGAGATTTGGTCCCATTTATCTCTACCCTCTGAAGGCTTTTTTGACCAGAGAGGTTGTGGTGTGGCTCAGAGCACCAATAGTCCCAGCTGCTAAAAGTAGAGATGAATCTGCAAATAAGATCTCTGGGGAGACACAGCAGTCATAACAGAATTTTCTTTTATTCTTATTTTTTTGTGAGGAAGATCGGCCCTGAGATAACATCTGCCAATCCTCCTCTTTTTGCTGAGGAAGACTGGCCCTGGGCTAACATCCATGACCATCTTCCTCCACTTTATATGGGACGCTGCCACAGCATGGCTTGTCAAGCGGTTCCTCG